GACGTCCTCAGGGCTGGGTGCACGTGCTGCAGGGGAGGAATGAAGTTTCATTATAGCCTCCTTCCCGAATAAATGAGTGGGCAGACTGTGAGATTAAAGCTCCCTCTCGGGGTGCTGTTGATTTGCAACCTGAGTGCCAAGTGGCGCGATGACAGCGCGAGTGTTCTCGCAGACAAAAGGAGCCACCAGCCCACTGAGCCCCACTGTGAGCTCAGTTTCTTCAAAATGCTTTAATACTCATCCTATTTCTTGCACTCTGTTCATTTGAGAGGGTAAAGAAGGAGGCAGAAACCATCTGCTCATGGTACCTGCTCAGACTCTGAAAAGAGAGAAATCTTGACTTCGCGTTTAGAAGTGATGATCAAAAGGAAAAGGAGGAGACTTCTTTCTTCACCATAGTTGGCAGCAAAAGAAGTTTAAGGAGATTTGGATTTTTAAGCTTATATTACTTGTTTTGCATTAAAAAGTCAGTTTCACTGATCCTGAAAATAAGTGAAACAAGAATGTTCTGAATCATAAGGGAATGAAAGCAAAGCGCTAACTGATGTTTAATCATGCTGTTACAAGCTATTTCTTTTAACTGTTGAATTTCACTTTATAGCAGGCACTTTTTCAAAAGTGCTTCTACTTGTACTGTAAGATTGTATTTATTAAACCTTAGCATAAATAGTATTTTATAAAGACAGTATTTCTGTAACCTCAGAGAAACGTTACAAAAACTAGCCCTAACCCTTAAAACTTGATTTAAAATGATGGCCTCCGTTATCATCTTTCTCTTACAAATCACTATATATAAAGTACAGCTTGTACTACCTTTAACTCAAGACCTGATTTGAAATGTTTTGATATGTTACCTTTTCAAAATAGAAACATATTAAATCCTGGGCTGATCAGTGACATCAGCATAAATGTTTTATCACCTCCAAATGCACTGAGCAAGTGAGGAGCCACCACACTCCCAAATAACCCCAAAGGTAATGAATTACCTGTCACACCTGTGGCTGTGGTGCATCTCTTGTGGATTCACGTGCAGTTCCTCCTAGGATGACTTTTGTCTTGCAGAGGAGAAGTCAGAAACCACCCTTTAGGATTGGAGGTAGTAAGAAACTTCTGTGTCTTTTTTTCCTGAAATGTTATTTCTAAACTTGATAAAACATTACCAGAATTTAAACAATAACAATACTAACTCATCACAGCTCTTTTTGCTTGCAGAACTTGTCCATGACGATTGTAGGGGAAACCTTCTCCTTTACAGGTTTTGTCAGCAAACTGAGTTGTATTTTTATGATAAAGCTATAATACAGTAGCTAATGATTAATAAAGCCTGCAGTGGCAAGAAAGCAATCAATGATTGCATTCTTTGTGTTAATAAATACCTTTAAAACTCTGGTCTCTGATTCATGGATAAGACAGAGCACCAGTTCAGCACAGCTTGGGCCAACACTGGCCCTGCCCTGTGCATGGCACAGTGGCCTCTGGGCTTGGGGGGTCTCTTCTGACCACCCTGGCTTTGCTGGGGGTTGGGAGGTAGGACATGGAATGTCTCATACTATTAGTTGGCCAGGAATTACTTCTGTATAAGGACTGATCTGTCATTTAAGGGCAAATGGGCGATAAGATAAGCTTCTAAATCTGCCTTCTAAGCTAAAAAAAAAATCAAAACAGACCTGCTTCGGAGAAATGCTGTTGCTTTGCCTTCCTGTGCCCATTTTTTTCAGACGAGACTCCCTCTGTCTTCCAGGGTTCAGTGGAGGATGGAGTCAACCCTGAGGCCTGTGGCAGGATGTGTGTTGGCACTGGGAGTGGGCGCTGTGGCCCTGGCACAGGAGGGGCCCCTCTGTGAGCTCAACAGAGCCTGGTCGGGCTCTGCAGGTTTGGAAGGTTCTCTCGGTGCAGTTCTCTCTCCGTGTGTGGTGCAACCGGGCAGGCAAGTGCTCAGGGGGGCCCAGGTTTGTCTCTGCGCTTCCTTTCTCTTTGCTTTGAATCCAGAGATCCTCTGTTCCTTCCCTGTGTGCCCAAACTGGCCTTACCAGCTCGCTGGACTGTGTCTTCATGAAGACTTAGGGCCAAACCCACCGATGTCTCCAAGGCAGTTGGTGTTGCATTTCTGGGGGGTTGCATTTACGGGGAGCAACGAGCCCAGCTCTGGAGTTTGACGTTTACATGGAATCCTTTAACGTGCTGGAAGAAAGGTCAGCACTTAAAATAAGTTGTGAGGAGAGGTGAATGTGTTGAGTTTCCTTTTCCTGCAGGACTAGACAGCCCGTGGTTCCAGCCTTGCTTTTATGACCTGCCAAGCCTCAAGTACCTCCTCTCCAAAGAGTATGTGTGTGTAGATACACAAACACACAGGAGGATGTGTGCATTTTGCTCTTAAATCTCTTGTTGCTGGGTTAATTCTAATTGCCCTGTGTAATCAGAATTAATTTACCCTGTGAAAATTCAGGCTAAGACAAAGCCTTGTCCTTCTCTTCCTAACAGTCCTAAGAGCTGCCCTCTTCCTCCTCTGTTTCCTCTATAATGCTCCCCCCAACTTCCAAACTCAAAATATTCCTTTTAGAAATTGAGGAGAATAGGATTAGATATTTTTTTTTTTTCTTTAAGGTCTTATCTGTGTTCTGAAGGTGGGGCTCTCTACAGCTGCAAGCCAAATAGATTGTGTCTGCTTGGTTCCTTTGCTCCTCAGTGGCATCCCACAAACAGAGAAAGCAGTGAGCTCTAATCAAAACATAAGAATTTTCTTATTTCTGCCAGTTTTTCTATCTCCTGCAGCCAACTACTGGCATTATTTTTTAAAATAATAACAAAAAATTTCACATGTTGTTGACTCCTTTTGTCAGATGCGTGGAAATATTTGTTAACTTTCTGTATCAAAGGCAGTGAGACCATGGAGCTGAAAATATCAAGTTCTTCCTTTTTCATTTAAACTCTCTTTAACTTCTAGTCAAGGACTGGCACCTACTTCTAAACTAAATGCCTCGAAAGAAGATTCCTACTCACAAGGAAAGAATAGAACAAAATAGTCCTTGCCCTCCTGGACTCTGTCCCTCTTTCTTCAGGCAGAATTGTTGTCCTCTCAGTTCTGCAATAATAAAAGATACTCCCTGCTCAGTGGAAACTTAAATACATCTCCTGATTTTATGACTGTTTTGATTAAACTGTTCTGCTTGGAGCCAGTTTACAGCAGAGAACGTCCACACAATGCACAACAGTAAACAAGAAGCCTTAAAAAAAACTAGCCAGGTTCATTTGGTCACATCCCACTGATTCTTCTTGTGACTTGTGACAAATTGCTCCTCTCCTGCCTGCCCTCACCTCTGGGCACTTTGTCTGGTTTCGATATGTGACTGGTATAAAAAACAGGTATGTCAGTACAAGTGATAGCTTGTGTCTCTACAGGAAAAATATTATTCTGTAAATGCTAGGTGTTTTCTATTTTTATTACTTAGGTGTAGGTATTAGAAGCTAGAAGCAAACAGCAGTACAGAAATAACTTTAGCACATGGATATCAATCATATTAAATTAGGCATTCCCCATGAAAACTCATTTATAGTCTCTTGTTTCTTCTCCTTGACTAACTGTCCTTTGTGCTGGACTAAATTAGCTGTAGGACTTGAAGCTTCTTGATAAATTCTGAGATGCTGACCTTGCCAAATTCTTGGCCAAGATCAGTGGATCTCCCTCACTTGGCATTCCAAAGCACCCATGATGCTGTTTGTTTCAGTTATGAAGGGGGGGACAGACCCTTCACCCACATGCAGGAGCAAAGGCGGATGGAAACAGCTCTGCCAGCGCCGCACGCAGGAGCCACGGCAGGCAAGGCAGGGTGAACTCTGATCTGTGCTGCTGTGCACAGGGAGGAGATGAAAAGGCGGTTGTTGTGCTTCTGTGTGTAAATTACTGCTGTTAAGCTCTTTACAGGCAGGTAAATAAGAATCTAAATCAATTTAGCTCTTGTTCTTGGCACAGGGCCGTTGTGTGAGCTCTGAGCTGGCATCTGTTGTGCTGAAGTGCTGCAGTGATTCAGCGCAGCTTTCCGGGGCTGTGTTGCACGTTCTTCTTGCACTGCTGTCCCCTGCATGCTGCAGCCTGAGCTCTCCTCCCAGGAGGGCCTGGCCAAGGAGCCTGCCTGCCTCCTACAGCCGTGTCCAATAGCCTGTGACAATCTGCTCTCTGGATCCGTGCTCAGCGTGGTTCAGCTGCTCTTTGCAACATCTTGCTATTTTCCTTTTGCATTTGCTTGAGACAAGCACACAAATGCTTCTGATCATGAAAATCCCATGTATGACTGCAAAGTAGCTGCCATAAATTAGAAACTGGGAGAGGGAGAGAAAAAGGCAGAAGAATTAATGATGCTGCTTCTTCTGGAGATGACAGACACTATGATTTTCTTGACTTGTGTTCTGGCACAGTTTCTCTATGTTCAGGTTTTTGCTTTGTGATTTGCTTTTCCAGCAAACAGCAGATATGTGTGGAATGAGGAACTGCCCCTTGCTTCCTTGTGCCTCTTAATAAACATCAGATGGGGAGCAGAATAGGAACAGAATTTTTTTTTTTCTATTAGTGCAAGATATAGAATTAGCTTCATTACCCACGTAGTCATGAATAATGTAAGGGCAGAGTCAGAGTTTATCCTTGTTTTGCTCTTACTTGCACATTTCAGTGCTGTCATCACACTGGTTTCCTAAATACACTGTGACTTTTGGGGGAGAGAGGATGTTACTCAGTGTCCTATCAATGACCAAAGCTGGTCAGATAGCAGAGCCTGAATAATTATGTTCTGGTGTATCTCCCTTTAAAAAGTCAAAGACCAGCATCTTTAATCATGAATGCATTGAAAGGCAAAAGGGAAGAACGATGACTGACATGAGGGAAGAACAGATTTCTACAGAAGAAAGAGGGAACTGAGTTGTCCTTTGGCACAGGAATACCTTTCTTGGTAAACTTTTGATGACAAATTGACAGAGCAGTAAACAGAACATAAAGTGACAGCACTTACCTGAGTCACTATGTCCAGCCCCAGGCCTCTCGAATCCACAACAACTATTGTGAGAACGGTCTGAATCAGCAGGGCAATGAAGTTGTTGAATCCAAACATCAGGGCATAGCGTTCCATGCTCAGGTTGATGGCAATCTGGAACCTAATGTGAGACTGGCAGGTCAGTGACTTCCCCCTGGGTGGAAAGCTATTGCCCTCCAGCCAGTCAGTGAAGAGAAATGATTCATGGAGATGATCCATCAAGGATGGAGCAAACAGTGCTTCATTTGTTTGTTTGCTTCCTTGCTTTCTATAAAATAAAAAGCCTTGAGTACCATAGTGTATTTAGATGTTGCTTTTTTTTTTTACCTGTCTGTGCTGCTTTTCCCAACCATACTGTCAGGTGATGAGGTACAATATCAGTTCTCTTTAACCCTCTGCTCCTTCTCAACCCCACAAGAAGTAAAGTCTCCATGGTTGGAGTCTTTCAGAGAGCTGGCCCTGGCAGCCCTGGCTGGGAGGTCACACCAGCAGGTCACTGTGGGTATCTTCCAATCAAATTTTCTGTGATGATGTGAGTCACTTTTTGCTATGGGGCTTGACAGTGGAGGTAACGTGCTGTTTATTTCTGTCAAGAGGCTGTAGATTTTACTAGCAATATCTTTTTTGGCAATAATTAGAACACCTTTCCCTGTGATATTTACCTCCAAAGTTTCTATCTGAACAAAAGGGCTTCAGGACTTATTTTCATTTGATTTATCATGCCTTTTGTGCAAGCTCTGACCTTTTTTTTTATGTTGTTATTGTTTTTTGTTTGTTTGGCTGGCTTTTGTTTTGTTTTGGTAGAATATTTTGAAATAGTCCAGGTGTAATTTACTATAATGTAGTAGCAATAAAGCAAAATGAAAACAGAGAGTTCACTTAGCTTCCTTCAAGATAGGCATAATCTTGCCATGCATTATAATTTCAGCAGGTTTTTTAAAATGGTTTCTGACTAATTTTGGGGTTTGGCATAAAAATGCATCTGGTATTTCTGTCAGTGAACTAGTGTGGTATGGCTAAAGATGTTCCAAGTAATTAAATAACTGGAGTAATAACATATTTATTGCACAGATATAATATTTGCTATTATTATTATGGCTTGGTCTCGTCAGAGATCTTGTCCGACGTTCTCTTTTACTCCTTCTTCGCATCCTAATATCTTTAAGGATTGTGTATATAAAATTGTGTTGGGGAATGCTCTATGCCAAATCTCTCCCTGAATTCATGCAGTTCATGGCATGCTGAAAGGTGCATCAGCAGGTGGTCTAGACATCACAGGATGGCTGTCGAGGTATGCTTGTCCCTCTTGTTCACTTGTCATCTTTCATGCCAGGAAGAAGGAAAACAGCTTCTACATTTTGCTGTTACCATTCCTTTTAGTACCAAAGTTACCTTGTACCACGTTTAACTTCTGCCTACTTCAATATTCAATTTTATGAATATTCAAAAATTTTGATAATTTTTCTTTTGTGGCCTGCACAGTTATCATTAGGTCCTCTTTCCCCGAGGAAAAGGAGGGGTTGCCCAAAGCAAACTCGAGGGAGGGTCAGCACAATCAGGTTTTTATACTCACGTTGCTATTGTCAGGAGGAGCATGTAGCAGGCCTTGAAAATGAGATAGCCAGCATAACATGCCCAGATGTTGGTAGAGTAGTGCATGAGAAACAGAGAACCAGCATCTACTGCAGAGAAGATCCCTAAAGCCAGCTCTCCAAAAAGGTCCCAGTTAATTTTCAGGTATTGCACTAGGAAGGATGTTACCGAGCCTAGAAAAAGAG